CTCCCTTGGACAAGTTTTTGCTATAGGGCCCGTGCGCTCGCCAGACAGACAGAGAGAGCGGAAAATCACCCCTCAGGGGGGATGGTCACACCGCAATCCCTTCTCCTCCATTCTCCTCTCAGGATCTTGGGCACGCATGCACACGTGCCCGGTGTGCGTTTAAGCCACCAGCAGGTCTGGGACTCGAACTGCGGTCTGCTACATGGGAGTCCAGCAACATAACCATTATGCCAACTACTCGTCCCCACTTTACCTTTTTGTTTGTTTTTTTGAGAGGTTTTTGCTATAGGGCACGTGCGCTCGCCAGACAGACAGAGAGAGCGGAAAATCACCCCTCAGGGGGGATGGTCACACCGCAATCCCTTCTCCTCCATTCTCCTCTCAGGATCTTGGGCACGCACACACATGTGCCCGGCGTGAGTTTTAAGCTACCGGGTCTGGGATGCGAACCGTGGTTGACTACGTGTGAGTCCAGTGACATAGCCATTACGCTAACTGCTGGTCCCTCCACTTTACCTTTTTCACGTTTCTCTTATGTCTGGCTTAAGATGAGTGGATCTTCAGATTTCCTGAATTCAGTCTATTGGGATATATATCGCACAACCTCTGTGCAGTTGTGAGAAAGTGAAAAGGCAAACACGATCATGATTTTATCATTGCTAGAGGGCATGTACTCTTGAGAGAGAGCAAGAGGGGAAGGGAGAAATCCCAGTGGGGAATAGTTATGCTGCAATCTCTTTTCCATCTCTCCATCCTGTAGAGGTTGACATGCACGCACGCACACATGCACCCAGTGTGTTTTCCAAGCCAGCGGGGCCAGTATTCGAGCCATGGTTGACCATGTGGGTTAGGCTATAGGGCCAGCCCTGTCTTTATTATTTTGAAAAAACCTTCTGACCCGTGAGCCCTCTGTAAAGTTCTCAGTATACCCTAGAGATCCCCACACCTCACTTTTAAGAACCACTGGACCAGTGAGACCAGGCAGAAGCCATCATAGTACCTTTCGTAGACCTGGTGGTGCTGTATGAGGAATGCTTCCTCCCTTGGCCTCTGGCTTCTGAAGTTCTGTTTGAAGCCATTTTTACTGCCTTCAATTAGGAGAAGAAGCTGGGAGGCCTGATACCCACCTCAGGGCTTTTCCTACAGGTCAAGGAGGAAGGAGGGAAATACACAGCACTCACCTGTGTTCCTTCTGATTTTCTCAGTCCCACAGAAGGCAGCATAACAAAGATAAACCCTTTAAGTGCCACAATTGTCATCGGGCGTACACAGACGCAGCCTCGCTAGAGGTGCACCTGTCCACACACACGGTGAAGCATGCCAAGGTGTACACCTGCACCATCTGCAGTCGGGCGTACACGTCGGTGAGTGCTTGGGGCCCTCTCGGGTTAGTCCTACACAAGAGGCCACGGTCCACTTTACCCCCCTTTCTGGATAAAGCTCTGTCACAGCAAATAACCCTGCCTCCCTGTTCCAACTTTACCAGAATCCGCAGAGTCACTAATTAATTAGGCCCATAGCTGGGAATATTTGCAGCCCAAGCCTATAGAGATTGATAAAATAGTAACTATTTTACTTAAGTCTGTGAACTTTAGTTGGGTGTTTCCCATTAGAGTCCAGAAAAAGGTCGTAATGGTTCACTCAGATCGCTGAAGGAAACGGCAGCTCTTCCTTTTGCCTTGAAGATCCATGGTGACTTCTAAAGCCCACTCCTGCCTGAGTATCACTCCAGTAATGAGCACTGACGGTGCTACCCGAGTGCTGCTTGCACCTGGCCCGGGGATACCTCTGTATGGACAGTCTGCTTACAGCAGAGTAAGAGCCCCAAATGCTCGCTACTAGTCATCTCT